GGGAGAAGGCAATAGAGGAGTATAGACGAGGGGAATAGGAGGGATAGGAGCTCCTGTGGAACAGAATGGTTATAATATTAACAATAATATTAATAATCACAGAATAGTTATAATAATACTTGCATTTGTTAAAGCACCTTATCACTTTGGAAGGATGTCTCAATGCGTTTCACAGGATTTATTGTGAAATGGACTGACTATACTTGTAGGCAAACGTGCCAGCATCACCAGCATCATTGCATACAGCAGTGCCTCACAAACAGCCATGGAGTGAGTGGCCAATTTTATTTGGAGGATTGTTGACCAGGACACCGGGAGAAACTCCCTTCTCTTTTCGAACAGTGCTTTGGGATCTTTAACCTCCACCTGAACAGGTAGACAGAGTTTGGTTTAACGTCTCATCCGAAGGACGGCACCACCGACAGTGCAACCCCCCCNACCACCCCCAGCGCTGTGCTGGAGTGTCAGCTTAGACTATGTGAGTTCAAGTCTCGACGTGCGATGAGTTGGGCCGAATGGCCAGTTTCTTATGCTGGACCACACTATGTAAGGGTTGCCCTGCATGTTCTGTCCTCAAATTACTGGAGTTGTGCTGTTCACCACTGGTTTCTCCTGCTGATGGCGCTGCAGGATGTGCCATTGGGGAAGGTGAGTGCAGATTGTGGATCATCGTTTCCATTGACAACTGTCCTTATTTATTGGCCATCAGCAATGCGTTCCAGCTGTGATAGTATCAAATAGCCGCAGCTCCTGGGAACTGTATACAGCTGGAGTCAGCACGGCAGCTGCATGATGTCTTACATCATTATTAGCAAATGTGCCTTAACCATAGTATTTATGTGTGTGTGTAGATCGAGTTTGAAGTTTACACTGAAACTCCAGTCCAGTTCTGATAGACTGGTGCATTGTCAAGTTAAGCCAAAGTCCTGTCTGCCAGTTTTCAGTAAATGACGATCCCTTCACAGTATTCGGAAAGAGAAGTTTCTCCCAGTGTTCTGGCCAACTCTCTTCCAGATTACAACAACAAGATTACATTTGTATAGCGCCTTTCACGTCGGGAGGACGTCCCAAGGCGCTGGACAGTGTACAGCATTTCAGACCCGAGCTGGGGTCAGGGGGGGAGAAGGGAGAGGACGGGAAGGGGGGGTGGCCAATGGCTTGGTTGAAGAGGAGGGTTTTGAGGTGGGATTTGAGGAAGCTAAGGAGGGGATGAGGCGGGGTGATCAGGGGATGGAATTCCAGAGGTTGGGGGCAGAGTGGCTGAAGGCTCTCCCGCCAATGGTGTGGCGGGTGGGCTGGGGGACATGGAGCAGGCCGGAGCCGGCTGAGCGGAGGGAGCGGGCGGATTGGTAGGGGATTAGGAGGTCACAGAGATAGGATGGGGCGAGGCCATGGAGGACTTTGTAGGTAAGGACCAGGATCTTGAACTGGATCTTCTGAAGGATAGGGAGCCAATGGAGTCGGGCGAGAGTGGGGGAGATGGGGTCATGGAGTTTGGTGCGCGAAGATTAAGTAGAGAGGAGAGGCAGTGTATGAGGATGGAGTGGTCGACAGTGTCGAAGGCGGCAGAGAGGTTGAGGAGGACAAGGAGGCAGAGGGAGCCCTGATCACAGATGTACAGAATGTCATTAGTGATTTTGACCACGGCTGTTTCCGTTCTATGGGCAGCGCAGAAGCCGGATTGGAGGGGTTCAAAGAGGGAATGGTGAGAAAGAAAGGAGTGGAGCTGAGACGCGATGACTCGTTCTAGGACCTTGGAGAGGAATGGGAGGTGAGAGATGGGTCCAGGGAAGGTTTTTTCAGGATGGGGGTGATAACGGCTGTTTTTAGGGGGGTGGGAACTGAGCTGGTGGCCAAGGAGAGGTTGAAGGCGTTGGACAGGAGAGGGGCCAGAAGGTGGAGCTGGGAGATGAGGAGAGAGGTGGGGATGGGATCGAGGGAGCAGGTAGTGGGTTTGAGTTTGCGAACGATGGCGTTGAGAGATAGATAGGGAGAGATAGTGTCGTAGGTGTATGGGGGGATGGGTGGGGGTAGATCATGAGGGAGAGATGATGTGTGGGTGGCGGTGGACGGGGCAGAGGTGACTGAACGTATCCTCTCAATTAACTGTTTATTTACTGTTTATGGGACCTTAATGATGCAAATACAACAACAACTTGGATTCATATAGTGCCCTCCACGCCGTCTCAGAGCACTTAATGGCGGTCACGTTGGCCTCAAAAACAATCATTGCATTTGACAATAATTACTTGTGAACCACTTTGAGAAGCTTCAACATAATAAGTCCTCAAATAGTGCAAGTTCTTCCTTTCTATAGATATACCGGCTTGTGTAACAATGAAAACATTACGTATGTGGAACTCTGAATAGTTTGGTTTGGTCACAGTTAAGTAAGCGATGGGTTTCTGCAAATGTCAGACACCTGGCTGACCAAACAAAAAGTGTAAATCTATATGAACGTGAGTTTATGAGTGAAAGTATGTATGACGTTATCTACATCACAGGAGCAAACAGAAACATGTAAAGAAAAAGCCAGCTAACAATCTGGGAACAGAAACCAGACAAATTAAAAACACGGACTGTTTTTGGAGTTAATTATGTAAAGAGGGAATGAAGGAATATTAAGTTTGGAGTTGAAGGCAGAATGTAAATCCAGCATCGAAACCTTTCATTGCAGAATGATCTTATGTGCAGCATTGTATTTTGGGAGCAGTGATAACTTATCGGAGTTGGAATCCATTTGGTGTAGGACGTGTTGTTAGACAATAGGTGGCGATAATCCTCAAGAACCCACACCCACAGGCAGATCACAAACACTTTCTTGCAATTGATGACCTGAAGGAGGATTGGCTTTTTAAGCTGTTTTCACTGTTAAATAAATCATTTCCTTTGTAAACCTTATTTATTCGTTTTTTACATGTTCGTTTTAGGCTCTTTCTGCAACCTGTGTTGTAGCACAGCCATCCTTTGAGCAGTTCCCTGCAATACCGACAGCCCAAGTGAGTGTTCTTTGTATATGAGCCTGGGTAACGAGTGTCAGCATGCGTAGAATATCACAGCCAAACCCAATCTTACCCAATGTCTACATGTACACACTTTCAGCAGGATAGTAAACACATCCTTCTAATGACACGGTAAACTGAGGTCTAGTCTGCCTCTTCAGTTGGACCTTAAAGATCCCTTGCCACTATTAAAAAGAGAAGGGAGTGTTTCCCAGTGTCCTAGTCATTAATCCCCGAGATAAAATAGCTTGGTTCACTTTATGGATGTTTGTGGGACATTGTGGTGTGTAAATTGTCTGTCGTAATCACCTACAAAATACAGTCACTTTACAGTAAATCCTGTGAAGCATTTGGGAGCCGTCCTTCTGACATGAAAGGCACTATAATCAACCTCAAAGATTATTATCAAGAGTAGCACTCCAGCTGAAGGTGTTTGTTCTGTCTCCAAGGAATACTCAAGCCAACTGTAGGGGACCTCATTACCATCTGAGCCAAGATCAGCTAACTCAGCAGAGACTATAGATTGAACCACAGTTCCCCCCCCTCCCCCCTCACAGAGTATTGCCTTATATGTCTTCAATCTATCACTTTAAAGGGGAAGAAAAGTTTAGAGGGAAAACCGTCTGTTGCTTTGTTACAATCTGAGATTGTTGTTGAGATATTGTGAAGTCTCATGTTTCAAGGAACCTCAGGACCTGCCTTCTGCCCTGCAGGCTGCCACAGTGAATTTGCTTTTAATATTTTTGGGGAGCAGTGGGGAGTCTGACACATGCAGGAAACCATCACTGTTCTTAAGAGTATTCATTCCAGACCATATTCCACATATATATGTCACCTTCAAATGGAAAGTTACCTGTGTCTGAAATAGGGGGTATTGTATATGTTAAAGTGAAGGCTGTTGCCAACTTGTACCTAATACTTTACGGAATTAGGTAAGCAGGGTGTATCCCTGCAGGGAGAGAGTGCCTATTCCATTCCAATAAACATCTCTGAATTCTCAGTTCAGTTTGGATACTCTTAAGCAAGGTGATGGGTTTTTGCATGTGTCAGATACCTGACTGACCAAAAATAAATCTCAAGTAACTTTGAGAAAAATAAATCTCAAGTAACTTGCCTTCTGGTCTGTAAAGCGGTACAGTGAATGTGTTGAATGAAGAGGCTGATATTTTGGACAGCCCTGGGCGATGATCTGCAGGCCAACTCTGGCCAAATACATGAGCTGTTGATTAGTGCTGCATATTCACCATTACCATGATTTTCTCGGGTTTATAGCCTCAGATCAGCTCTCAGGACCGACCAAAGCACTTACTTCTATTCCTCTGGGACGCACAGTGCACCTATTTGTCCCTGACATTCCTGGAGAGGCCCATCAGATCAGAAACAGAAATGGGATGCTTAGTACTTGAGATTGGATTAGAATTTAAGTTTATGTTTTCTTAAAAAAATGCATTTTTCTAATATTGCCAGGGAAGCAGTCGGAATGGCAAATATTCCCGAAGACTTTCCGGTTCTTTTAAATGCTGTTTGTTTTTAATCAACTTTTATATAATAATAATTCTTACATTTGATCCAGCACCTTATCAAGTCTTTGAGACGTCACAAGTGCTTCACAGAAGCAATTATATGTATTGCGATGTAGATTGACTGGGTGTGTGTTTGTGTGTGGGTATATATATATATATATATATAGTGAAACACACACACAAAATACAGGGTGACCAAAAAGGTCATGACATTGCTCTATTATCTAAACGAAATTCTAATTTCTTTAAGACTTATTCGACATTGCAATGGTGTCGGGTCTTTTTTTTTGATCGCCCTGTCCACAGGATATAAAAGTACCCACAATGTGTCAGCCTTTATGCAGTCACTGTGGGATGTGCTCACTGTTCACTGGAGAGCCAGTGAGGTCCCTTTAAGACCTCGGCTGCTCCCTTTCCTGGTTGCTTTGTTGCGCTGTGACTTGGAAGAGGCTGTGGTGGGCTCGCTCATGCGCACTGGAGCCGCTCCTCTCAGCTCAGCTCAGCTCAGCACAGCTCACACACACAGACACACACACACACAGAGCGGGGCAGCCACCACGGTCGGGCTCGGTTGGAGTCTGATCGCTGGGAATATGGCCGGGAAGCCGCACTGGGGCTCGCGGGAGGCAATAGCTCTTACTCTCGGGCTCCTCACCATGCTGAGCCGAGCAGAGCAGGACAACTTCAGCGCAGAGGTAAGTCAAGAACACATTTGTGTGTCTCAGTGCAGAAGGTGGGCAGCTACTGTTACACTGGCTCACCCACTCACTCACTCACTCACCCACTCACCCACCCACTCAGATGCACCTTCATAATCAACTGTTGCACTTATTAATAGTCCCTGATTGTGCAGCACTAATATTCACTAAGGATGTACAGTCTAGACTTCACTATACAGAAACTCTGATCAGTCTTCATGATGCACGGATTGTCTGTCTCATTGTCCAGGAGTAAAATGCACAGACTCTAGTTTTGTGCAGTTAATAGGCTGTTAGATTCTTACAGTATTGATGTATATGGACAGACTCGCTGCACAATATTTGGGCGGCTGACTCATTGCATATCAGTATGCATGGAATGAAATTCTCTTTCTGCTCAGTATTAAGCATCCATGCACTTTGTGCAATGTTAATCTGTGGATCGAATGTGCATTATGTGCCGAGGAGAGACCCATTGTCCAGCCCTGATATGCACTGACCTCTACAGTATCAATTTACGCAGACAAACTGTACAGTGGACACAAGGATGGACAGTCAGTAAATATGTATGCACAGATCATGCAATATTATTAATAATAGTCCTTGCATTTATCACATCATTGAGACGTCTCAAAAGCGCTTCACGTAATATATTGTAAAGTGGATTGACTATTTTGTGGGTGAAACGTGACAGCCTATTGCAATTTTTATATTATAATATGCAATTTTCATTGTTGGTAAGAACAAAGCATGGATTAAGAAAAGGTCATTTCTCTATATAGTAATACTGTGCAGTAATATGCACAGTATAAATGTACAGTATAAATGTACACAAATACATGACACCTTTAATATATGAGTAAATTCAGTAAACTATGCACTGACAGACTACTACTGTATATAGTATTAATATGCAGGAGGATGCTTTGTTCAATATTAAGGTGAGTTGACGCTTGGGAGTAATGAACTCTTGAGTCACATGGGGACTTGTTGGTGTTACAATGCCAGGATTTCATGCTGCCAAGTTCTTATACATTTATTGTTGTGGTTTTAAATCCAAATAACAGTTATGGTGGTGAGATTCCTTACACGTTACCGATATTTGCTGAAATCAGCTGTTTACACTGAGTGTGAAACTTTCCTGGTGCATTCAAGCTGACAGTGATAATGACTGTCACAAAAAATATTAACTCAAAGTTTGTAAGGAGTATTCAGTTATAGCCAACGTAGTCTGGCAAACAGACAATGGCAAAAAGGGAATGTATTTGATTGTTTGCTCTGCCATTTCAGACTTATGTGGTTTATTTACTTGTGTAAGTTTTAAAATCCAGCCAGACAGAGCACCATACGTAGGAGGTATTTGCCAGGTAAATATTCTATTCCCCTGAATTAGCCATATTTTCTGTCTTAATTTTTACCTCACCGAGAAAGGTAGCAGGTGGTCAGGAACAACTGAGATTTCTAGGTGAATATTGTGTGGGGTTGGTGGGGGGAATTCTCCTGGCAGCCAAGATGATACAGAGACAGAAACGATTTCACCCGTCTCTATCTTTGTACAGATTCTCACAATAGACTCTCATATATGAGGGCTTCCTACAATGAGCTTGTGCCTATGTTTGAAGCTCACTACGTTATGAAGAGGCATTAGAATTAGTGCAGAACCGTGCATTGACATTTACCGTTCAGTGCGCGTGTGTAAACACGATGAGCATGTGTATACTACGGATGTTTATTTACCCCGTTGCCTTCATTCCTCCGGGTCTGGCCTCCTCCGCCTCTCCCGAGTCCTCCGCTCCACCCTCGGCGGCAGTGCCTTCAGCCACTATGCCCCAAGGCTCTTGAACTGCCTTCCTCACGCCCTTCGTCTCACTCCCTTCCCTCCCTTCCCATTTTCAGGTCTCTGCTGAAGACCTTTCTTTTCGACCGTGCCTTTGGTCACCTTCCCCCCGCCCTCCCCCTGGCTCGGTCCCGGGATCAGAAACTGTAAAGCACTCTGAGACGCCGTCCGGCGTGGAGGGCGCTATATACATACAAGTTGTTGATGTTGTTTGGTTCAACTGGTTTTCTGACACATGTGTAAACCCATCACCGTGCTAGAGTGTCCAAGCCAGACTGAGAACTCTACAAATCTGTGAAGCGCTTTGGGACGTCCTCCCGACGTGAAAAGCTCTATATCAAATGCAAGGATTATTTATATTATTAAATGTATACCATTTATGCATTTGTATTTCGTTGAGTCTGGAATGAAATGCACACTCTCTCTATCTTGCGCTCTCTCTGTTTAATTATCGCGCTCTCTCTATCTTGCTCTCTCTTCCGGAAATATTTCTGGAAATATTACCTATTTCTGGAAAGTATTAGACATAGGTTGATGTGAGCCAAGGTTTGGGAACCCCATCGTGGGTGTTGCTGTACTGCTGGAGTTTAACCACATGGCTTGCCATTGGGAGCACTATCTGGCAAGCTTCCCGCGACTTCTCCAACTAGGACCACCCCATTAGGTCTTAACTGGAATCAGTTGGGAAGAATCCCTGCTGCTGCACAGCCCCTCCCAAGTCGTGCGGTTGAGCCAAACTAATTGGTCTGTTGCCAGCAGAGCTTTGGAGTATTGCAGACCAACTTGGTTCAGGAATCACACTGTGGATCGTCACAGAGGGTTGACTCGATTCTGACATTCTGTTGGCAAGCATGTTACCTCGGAGAGACCTCAGCCCCAAAGAGACCCTGCTAACCAGCACCCCGCCTCCAACAGCATCGTCCAGTGACCAGTGCAGGTCTGAGCCAACAACAGCAACTTGCATTTATATAGCAGCCTTCACGCAGGCTAGTAGCCTTCACATGGGCGAGTATCCCGGAGTCCTTTGTATGAAACCTGCTGTAATGAGATACAGTACAGTGTGTGTGTTATTTATATATATATATATACACACACTCACATATATTCATGAAACTTTTCACACTACTGTATGTACAAGTATCTCAGATGTACACTGTAAAGCAAACTGCTGTGACAGAACCGGAAGGCAGGTTTCTATTTTGTGGTTTGGGCAGCTGAATAGATGAAAATAATGTTATACATTGTGTAAAAAACCTCCTAAGAGTGGGGTTAATTCATGTGATTTTCCAAAGAATATAAATTCTTGTCATTTTTTTCCATTGACAGTTGAGAACAATAATTCCTGAAATGATGGATGTCTTTGGCACATAACATACAATTCATAACAAATGTTCAATACCAACATTTGTACAGGGAATTAAAATTCCTACAGGTTTGACAGATTATTGTTGGACCTTGTGATTTATAAACTCGTTGCTGGGTAAAATACAGAACGTAAAATAAACACATTTAAACTGACACACCTTGTGGTAGTGGATTGTCTGCTCAGTTACTGAGCTTTATATCTCACTAGAACTTATTTCTCAAGTCACTTGTAGACCTTCATGCCCATCAGAACCTCCATCTCTGATCAACAGTACAACTTTTTAATCGAGAAGTGACGTGTTTCTGTAGAGATATCAATCTTTAGTTTGATGAATCCATTATACTTTGATCAGATTGTAAGTTGATATGAATCAGTTGATATTAGATGATATCTGTTATTTGGCTAATTGGCTGCCGTGTTTTGCCACAAAATACACAGTCAATTAATTTTACAGAAATTCATGTGAGAAGCTTTGAAATGTCTTAATGTGTTAAAGCGCTATATCAAATGCGAGGATATTTATCTGCTCAGGAGCTTATTGAGCAATCACAGACCCCTATTTTTCTTGAATTCAACACTTGAGCAAGAGTCAGTTGCGTAACAGGAGGAGCTAGCTCACTGATGAATCACTAGAGAGTATAACAGGAGTGGAGTTCACAAAGTCAACCAGCATTATAACTAGACTCAATTGCCAACTAGGCACTTGGACATTCAGTGGGCATGCATACAAAAAGATGACTTCTTTGTCATCAGGTCACCATTGACGCCACTTCATGTTCAGTTTCCTCCTTTTGTACATGAAAACTGGCTGGCGTTTTGAAATGAACTGGCTGACTTTCTGCTCACATTTTGGATTTTTAGTGATTTAATCAGGGGCTCTCCCACAGGTCAATTGCAGTTGGTGGTGTCTCCCATATGCTCAATAACTACAAGAGGAAAGAGTGGTATTTACCGCAGTGAAAAGATTAAAGTTTATATTTATATTTCTAGATGAATGAAATACTTTGTTTTCGATCCAGTTCTATCCCTCCCATCTCTTGCCTTATTGATCATGTGCGAAAGCGCCACCTAACGCTGATCAACCGTTTGGAGACCCCTGGTTTAAATATTGGGGTACACACAACATTAAGTGATCCCACAATATAGTGATGTGCATTACAATTGGATTGTACTGTATTACTGGAAATTATATTGCATTATTTCCTGTAGGACAATTGTTAACATGACTAAGAAACTTTGACCTAAGCTATCTTCTTACCATTATGCTTCCTGAGTGAAGCATTGAATCGCAATATGAATCAAGGTAAATGCTAGTGTGCCTTTAGGAACTGACGTTCTTCACAAATTAATCATCAAGGAGACGAGGTGGTGCAATGAGTCACCACACTGTACTTTCACCTTTGGCATGTGTGTTTGAATCTAATCTTTAATGATAAACTGGCTGAATAAAGCGGCTTTAACTGAAATGAGATAACAGACATAGATGGCCATTTTCTAATGAGGCTTCTTAGAGTTGCAATTGGGGACCTCTTCCACAAAATGTTAAGCCGATACTCGGGAACGTAACTGTAGATAATACTAATTAAATAATAATAATCAATAACCCTTACATTTGATATGGCTCTTTCACATTTGGAGCATCTTTCAAAGCGCTTTGCAGGTTACACTGTAAAGTGTAGTGACTATTTATAGGTGAACAGTGAGTAGCCATGGTCAGTGCTAGTTGCTATTTGCCAGTTGTATGGTTCCGCTGGTGTATTATGTCTGCAGGACTGTTCCCTGGGTTATTAATTGTCTCTTTGTCCTGGATCAGTATGTATACTTGGAAAGGAATAATAAAAAATAATAATAATAATCCTTGCATTTGATATGGCGCCTTATTACATCATCGAGACTCCTCAAAGCCCTTCACTGGATATACTGATCATTGGTTTTGCTGTGTGTTTTGTGGGTGAAATGCAGCAGCCAGTTGCGCACAGCAATGTCCCACAAACAAACAGCCATGGAGTGAGTGACCAATTTAATGCAAAAATGAATTTTGAACAACTGGGTAGCAACACAATGGTGTGGCTGTAGCTTTACACGGAAGGTCGATGTCTCATTCACTATACAGTGACCACATTTAACAGTCTGCGCCCTTTATGTAGGTTTTGCACAAATCCTGTGACCAGCTGGCAGGCAGCTTCCACAGTGGCAATGTGTGTGTGGTAGGACCTCAGGGACGGAGCTCCATGCCTGGAATTCCACACTTGCACAACGCACTGGTAATTTAGTACTTGCTAGGAAAATCTTTTCAATCTGTCAGGAGAACTTGGAGTGCGGAACTGTTCCCTGGCTTAGTAATTGTCTTTGTGCCCTGGAGCACTATGTGGATGTTGCATGCAAATTATTCTTTAGTGAGATATTCAACCGATATGTGGATGTTACATGCAAATTGTTCTTTGGTGAGATATTCAACCAATGTCTCAATCTGCCTCTCTGCACATTTGGGTGGATCTTAAGGATCACTTGGCGCTGTTTTGAAGACAGACATGGAGTTCGGAATAGTCATTTATCCCAAATTCTTCCCTCATCATAATAATCCTTGCACTTGATATAGCGACTTATCCTGTCATTGAGATGTCTCGAAGCGCTTCACAGGATGTTGTACAATGAATTGACTGTATATTTTATGAACAAAATGCTCATCTAAATTATTGCTCTTAAAGGAGCCCGGCACAGACAAGATGGGCCAAGTGACCTTCTACTGTGTTGTAAATTTCTATGTTTCTGCTGTTCACCCGAATAAAACCGAGTGCATTTCTTTCATTGCTGCTTGTGGGACATTGTTTGCGCAGATTAGCAGCAATGTTTATCTACAGAACAAGTCCCAACACTTCCAAATAACTCACTGAGTCAAGTGCTTTAGGATGTTTTGATATGATAAGGTGCCATATTAGATGCAAGTATTATTATTGATACTTTCCCCTAGTTTTACTCCACTGATGCTAAAGGTGCAAAATTATAGCAAAATGACTCTTGACTACAAAAGTGGATTCTAGGCAGATTTGGAGGTTGCAGAAGATAAAGTAACTTGTGGTTGTGTTATAATTGGGGATTGTAGATGGCCTGAGAGTAAAATATCTCATATCAAAATGGCTGTGTTGTTCAAGCAAATCTTTAGGTTTCTGTGTCGTCCTGACACAGCAGCTGAGACGATGCATAGACTTGGCTTCGGCAGGAAAAGCAGGTATCAAGTAAAACAATAGGCTTGAGGAAATGCAGTCAGCACCAGTGAGAGGTTATATTTAATCAGCTATGCACAGAGCCAGTTTATAGGAAGCCCGGTAGTGGCTTATGTCCAGTGTGTCATTCAAGGTTGGCCAAGCAGATAATGTCCTAAACAGTTCCTTTTTGATTTTGCCTGGCTCTTACCTCGGGACTTGGAAACCTGCGGAGATGTTCTTACATTCAATCAACTGAATCCAGTGTAAAGCTGCATCAATTTCAGGCTGCAGGTGAAATGTAGTTTGTCTAGGCTACACACACGAATGGTAGACACTAAAAAGGCAGGCAAAGGGCAACACTATGTTCCAAGAAAAACTCCCTTCTTTTTGAATGTTGCCATGAGATTTTTAATGTCCACCTAAACAGGCTGATGCGACTTCTGTTTAGCATCTCATCCAAAGGACAGGACCTCCGATACATTGAGATGTCTAAAAAATGTGAAAACTGCTATATCAAATGCAAGGATTTTTATTATGAGTAACATCCTAGATTCCATGAGTTCAGAGTCCCACCTGAGGCTTGAACCCATAAATTTCAGACTCAGAAGTGAGAGTGCTACCAACTAAGCCAGATAGTACATCAGCACTCTGCAGTATGAATTGTACCTGATGCCCCACTTGTAACGCAAGTTTAGCAGTGAATTGCTACCAAGTGTGCAGTATAAAGGCAGCATTAAAATACTGGTGAGTCCCTGTTCCAAGATTGCTCTACTCTTTCCTTTCAACGGCTGAGATGAGATCAGAAACATTTTTTTTAGCATCTAGCCTTCAAAATACTTGAAAGATAATGACCCTTATTTGAGTGCAATCACTATTTGGTGTGTTGTTAAACTCTTATTTCAACAAAAGTCTAATATGATGTTATATTCCTCAGAGCTACTTGAGAATAGGGATTTGGGAGTATTCCTTCAAAATGACTCCAATCTGGGAGTTTTGTTGGTCGTTTATTGCCAATGCTGACCCACTGGGTTGAGCAGCCTCCTACTGTGTCAGAGATCTCTAGTTCTGTGAGTAAGTCTTGTAAATTCTACAGTTTTGAATTGAAGAGGTATCAAGTTTGTGTATAAGATGGTGTCTCTCCACATACGTGTAATAAATCATCATAGGGATCTTATCACATCGTATTCTATTTCAACAGTCTTTATGCTCGGTGGTAATGACTTGTGAAATGCTTTGAAATGCTTGGAATGTTAATGTCCTGTAAAAACGGTTGTTTTCTATTTTTCTATTCAAAGAATGATTTAGTTTGTTAAGAATTAAAGTCGCAAGTGATCGGGAGCTCAGGGTCCACAGTTCCCCAGGGCTTGTTTGGCTCGTCCAAGGGACCTCAAGGCATATACATCACTGAGGGATAGGGTGCTTTCCACCCGGCTCCTGATAATCCTGCAGTCTAATGCCCTAACTATTGAGAGTTGTTCTAGCTGGAGCAGCAGTAGAAAATTCACCAGTGACTTGACCTACTTCGACCGTGTTTACGGTCACCTCCACCTGACTCAGTGTCAAGCTCTGCTACTGTTAAATGCTCCAAGACGCTGCCCTGCGTGAAGGGCACTATATTAAATGTAAGTTGTTGTTGTGAGTTGAGTGGATTTAGTGGTTCATTTCCAGCGGTAGTCCAGTACACTCTTTACAATCTCTGATGCTTCAGATTCTGCTTATCTGCACCTGTATTGTTCAGGCAGAGATAAGAAGGTTGTATGTTATTTCCCCCAGGGAAAGATTGTGCAAACAGAAACTCTGCTTCTGTGACTTGTCAGTATCTGCACCAAAAGGCCCATAAACACAGCAAATTCACATATGGCTGCCTTGGGAACAGATTTCACAAAATGGAAGTAAATATCAGAGGTCAGCCGTCAATATCCTTCTCTCTCTCCCTCCCCCCAACTGAGGCGGAGCTCATGAGAATTAAACATTGCGTTTAGGCAAAAATGGCATCAACTGAAAGCGAGTTTTTCCAATTAGCAACATATTTGGTCTGGCTTTGCTCCCATTCCCTTTTTCACAAGTGCTGAAATTTGGGAATTAAAAAAAAGCAAATTACAGTATGATTTTTTTAAAAAAATTAATATTTTGACAGAAATGTAATGCTTTTGTGATTGTGGTCAGAATTAATATATGTCTGGGTGGAAAACCTCTGAGTTGTTTTCATGAGGAGTCATGGTGAAAAGCAGGTGTTCCATTAAGTTGGTTTGAGAAGGATTTGATCTGTTATTAGTTTTGCTTCTCCTGGGTTAGGACTGATCTCATTGCTGGGCTCAAATCTCCTGGGAATGAAATGTTTAAGCAGCAGAGTCAAATTCTCAACCCGGTACAGACCCACAAACACACAAGGTTTCCGTTGCAAGGAGCCTTTGATGATGGTTTGCTACGATAAGAGAGACCACCTATCTGGCAAGATCAACTGCCTTATCTGCTGATTGCATTCTTGTATTTCGCCTACAAAACCCACAGTCAATCCACTTTACAGTATATCCTGTGAAGACCTTTGAGATGTCTCGACGTTGTGATAAAGCCCTGTATCAAGTACAAGGATTACAATTACTGTATTATTGTAGCTGGCACTAGTAATGGCTGACACTGGTGGTGACTGCTGTGAGGGTCAAGTTTGGCACTGGTAATCATGATGTTAGTTGAGACACTACCCTAAAGGACCTAAGAATAATCTTTGAGTTTACATAGCACCTTTGACGACAGGAGAACATTTCAAAGTTCTTCACAGCATTTATTGTAACGTGCAGTGACTGTTTTGTAGGCAAACGCCATGCTGGAATGGCCACTGATATCTGTTACATGAAGTATTGAGAGATGAAAGGTCACTAATGGTCAGAGCACTTCCTCCAACATCCCTCCCCCGATGTTGACACATTGAGGTACGGTTCCAATGAATGACAGTTGCCCTCCAGCACCTTATCCAAGTAGCTACATGTGAGAGCCGTGGGAGGTAGTGCTGGCGGTATGTTTAACTGGGGGCGGCAGGAACTGAGAGGAGCCTGTCCACACACGAGGACAGCAAAATAATTCTTGTTGCTGGTTACATGACTTTACAGCAAGGTTAATAGGATAGAGTTCATGTGTTTGTGTTTCAGTCCTGGCTGCAGATGTACGGATACATCCCTCAAGGTAGTTTGCGAATGTCCACGATGCGATCGGCTCAGACTCTCTCTGATGCCATTGCCACCATGCAGAGGTTCTACGGCATTGAAGTCACAGGCTCACTCGATGAAAACACCAAAGCGTAAGAACCTGTTTGAAAATGATTCAGCATCTCAGCACAACCTCCTCCAGGAAACACTACACTACACACTCTACAAAGCATGCTGACACTTGGCTGCCTTTATAGTGTGTGTTCACGACAGTACTGTATAGAGTTTGTGGGGCAGATTTATATTTTCTGCTGTACTGTAAAAAATGATTGCATTGTTCAGCCCGTGTGCATTTCAACACGTGTAGAACTCATGCGTAGGTTTTTTTTTTAGTGTTATTAAAGTCTTGATCAAGTCTTGAATAACATTAAAAAGTGTAGATTGAGCCGCATGCAATTCACACCTGCAATGCTTTCATCAGTGTAGCTCAGTCTAACATAATTCCAACAGCTTAAACATACTGTGTTGTGTGTTTGCCAGTAAATCACTCCCCAAACCACATTTTAGACCGAGAAAGAAATTTGGCCAGTACTTTGGGACAACACATTGTGCATTCACTTACTGTACACTATAACAACAACTTGCATTTACATAGCACCCCTCATGCAGGGCAGAGTCCCAGAGCGATTAAGCTGTGCTTGGTTCTCCCTTTCCTCACTGTGACCCCTGGTCTAGAACATATTTGAAACATGGTCATTGAGGTGAAAGGACAGTGTGCTTACTCACTGTAAACCACAGAGTTAAACATTTCCTCCCATTGGAAAGCCAATGGAGTGACTATCCAGTCCTTTTAATGCAAGCCGTGCATTTTAAGACCACCTAACAATATCCGCGGTTGGTAGAAAGCTGTAAAGTGGTCACAAGCAAACTGCGAGTGGGGTGGGCAGCGAGCGAGAGGGACAGGAGTATTCATAGTGACTGCAGTGGACCCAGAGCAACTTGGGGAATGGAGCAGGAAGCCATCTTAACCAAAGCTTTGTTGTCTGTTGACCCTGTCAGGTGGATGAGGAAACCCCGCTGTGGTGTTCCCGATAAGTTTGGTACCGAGATCAAAATGAATCTCCGTCGGAAGCGGTTTGCCCTCACAGGTCAGAGGTGGAATCGCAATCATCTCACATACAGGTGAGGAGCTCGGAGTGAACCTTATGCAAATGTTCCGTTGTGCATATCTTTTTGTGTGTCTATTAGTCAAGTTTCCTTACTCCACATCTCTGCTTACCGAGCAGTAAGTAGGAACCCGATTGTTAGTTGGTTGGTGGATCGCTTTCCGGAAGTAAAAATCCCTTCAAAAAAAAATTAGGGGGCAATTTGGTCCCTCAATCCACGACTGGATTGTGGACACTACTAACAGTGACTGCTTTTCTTCTCAGCATCCAGAACTACACCCCCAAAGTGGGAGGCGAGTACATGTCACACCAAGCCATCCGCCAGGCCTTTGCAGTCTGGCAGCAGGCGACACCCCTGACCTTCGAGGAGATTTCCTATTACGATATTCGATATGACCGCAGAAAGGAAGCTGACATCATGATCTTCTTCGCCTCACGTTTCCACGGAGACAGCTCCCCATTTGATGGTGAAGGCGGTTTTCTGGCTCACGCCTACTTCCCCGGCCCGGGGATGGGAGGAGACACGCATTTTGATGCAGACGAGCCCTGGACCCTCAGAAACCAAAACCTTCTGGGTAAGGAGCTCAAAGCTTCCCTGCATCAGTTCTGAGGGAGGAAGGGTGGAATCTAAGAGAGTACATCACCGTACAATTTACATTCGTGTAACACTTTTCTCATCGGGAGGACATCTCAAAGCCCTCGACACTGCCAACTGGGCACCAGCAATAGAAGGAACTTACTCTGAATGACACCGTATAATCTCTAGATGTAAACTAGATGATTATAATAATAACAATCCTTCACAGAGTATACTGTAAAGTGATTTGACTGTATATTTTGTGGAATCTGATTCATAGGAATTGCTAGATGAAAAAAGACCAACATCCATCTAGTTCGCCTTCTACCATCCTGGTACAATAATGGAGATGTTGATAGCAATTATTTCTGTATGGATTAGTCCACCATCACGATGGGAAGCTTTAGGAACCTTAGATCCAGAGTTGCCTAGTTCTTCCAAGCATACCACACTTGTCATGTCTCAAACTACTCATTAAAAATATTATTTTCTAAAAGAAATCCCATCTAATTTGTTTCCAACATCTCCTTAGGGAGTTTGTTCCAGAGATTTACCACTCTCTCACTGAAATAGTGTTTGGTTTACAATTTACCCCCCACCCTGATTCCCCAATCACTGAGAAATAGATCTGCCCCAATACTGAGTCTGGTTTTCAATCCATCAAAAGTAGCAGGTTGAGGGTTAATCTGTGTAAAATAGAACCCATAGTCTTATTACAAGAGTCGTGATAGAGCAATTCTCCACTTCAAAAAAAAGTACTTGTAATAGTCGTTTTTTTCTAGTTGTCCAGGGACAACACACAGCTGGCTGTGGTGAGCTGATGAGTTTTCTGCCAGATTCCTGAACGTGTGTGTGTGTGTGTGTGGTCCTCCACCTCCGACAGTTCATTGCCTCTCTCGTCCCAAGTTATAAACACTTTTGGGACCTGAGATACACCAACATATGGCCCTGTGAGTACAGTGTTAACAGTTCTGATGGCAGCAGAATTGAGATCAACATAAAACACTGGTGGTCTTTCTACACCAGCTGTAGTGTAACTGTTTATCAAAAAATCATTTTGACACTCAAATTACGAGAATGATTTGAAATCTCTTTATTTCTCTTGTCCTGAAAGAATTACGTTACTTTTTCCCTTCTGTTGGAGACTAGTTCCATCTTCTAGTAGTTGCTTGTGGTGGGTATTCAGTAAGTTCAAACAGTACTGACAGGTTAAACCATCCAGATTAATTACAGTGACTTTCACACACAGACCTGGATAATGTTCAGCGGAGAGAATCCAGGCTGATCTTCCTCTTGATAACCTGGGACAGTGGGGTCAGTTATTGGGTGCCTAGTGCTTCCCCAGGTGATCAGCTAACTCAGCACACACCCAGGCCATGGAATGCAATGAAATTGTCACTCAATGGAAGTTGTAGGCTTGCAGCCACGATGGTGGAGTGATTTTATCCAAATATTTTGAAGTATTGATCAGCTTCACTTCTGAGAAATTTTGCTTGGGGTAATTAATTAATTAGTTGATAAACGGCGACAAAATATAGAGTCAATTCACTTTACAGTGTATTCTGTGAAGCGCTTTGAGACGTCTCAAAGACGTGATAAGGCACTGTATCAAATATGAGGATTATTATTATTATATACAACTTCATTTCTTTACTGTGTACAGCATTGCCAAAACTCTATTGCTGACTTTTGTTGGGCAATTGGATTTTGAGAGTTTGCAGTAGACCAGTTTTCTGTAATGTCAATGTTATGCTTAGTTCACAGTGTGACTATAAGCCAGCTTTCTCATTCACTTTATTGGAATAGACAAGCACTAGGAAGTGACCACGAGGCCATTGAACAGGTGAATGCAGCCAGGGGTGTTGTTTGGCACTGAGAATTGCCACCGCTGTGAGCCTAACAGCAGTCCTGCTCTCTACTTACCTCCTTTCTGTGGCCTTTTGTCACCCCTCTGGCTGACACCAAGTGAAATGTCTATCTTGTTCTGGTTTGGTATTGCTTCCTTAGGTGACCATGCAGCAAAGTGTTTCTGGTTGTGAGCCTATTGCCTTTTATCTCTAGGGAATGACCTGTTCCTGGTGGCTGTGCATGAACTCGGCCATGCTCTGGGCTTGGAACATTCCAACAATCCCGCTGCCATCATGGCTCCTTTCTACCAGTGGATGGACACAGAAAATTTTCTGCTTCCCGAAGATGATCTGAGGGGGATTCAGCGGATTTATGGTGAGTCAATTGGTGGTGTGCGGGGAGTGGTGGTGGCAGAGAGGGAGATCATAATTCCTTTTGTGTTATAAAGTGTGGGTCATTTCAGTCAACTTTCCCTACCCCAAACCCCTGTTACAAAGGCTGCGTAAACTTGGATGTATTCCCTTGAGTTTAGAAGTTCGAGGGGTGATTTGATTGAGGTGTTTAAGATGATAAAGGGATTTGATAGGATAGATACAGGGAAGCTATTTTCTCTGGTGGGGGAATCCAAAACAAGGGGACATAGTCTTAAAATTAGAACCAGGCCATTTAAGAGTGAAATCAGGAAGCGTTTTTTCACTCAAAGGGTGGTAAAAATCAGGAAACTTTCTCCCCCAAAAGGCTGTGGATGCTGGAACCTTCCACACCTTCAAGAGTGAGGTTGATAGGTTTTTGGTAAGTCAGGGTATCAAGGGATATGGGGAGAAAGCGGGAAATTGGAATTGACAGGATTAGTTGAGATACAGATCAGCCATAATCTAAATAAATGGCGGAACAGGCTTGAAGGGCTGAATGTCCTATGTTTTCAGCTTTCATCCCCAGCTCAGGTACCCAGCCAGTACTGCCGAGTGCTTTCTCCCGATACGAAAGGCACTTTGTAAACATACAATTTATATTGTATAGTATTTTTAGCTTCAAAAAATTGAAGTTTTCAGAGGAGGTGCAGGACTTTGATCTATTCACATATTGTTTAACTGGAAATGATTGACAGCTCAGCTACACTGCATGCACATGATCTCAACACAGCTGGATGGTAGGAGACAAATCTAGTTTGTGCTTATTATGTGTTTTTGTTGGTGGTTGACAGGTCAATGCACCCAGGTCAGAATAAAAATAATAATAATCCTTGCATTTGATATGGAGCCTTATCACATCTTCGAGACGTCTCAAAGCACTTCACAGAGTATACTGTAAAGTGAATTGACTGTATCTTTTGTGGGCAAAGGCGCAAGAGACTGACGTACCAATCGCATCTCTTGAAGTGACTACTATAAGAATATAGATTAGGTAAGAGCAGTGTTTTGGTACAGTAGGGATGGAGTGCGAGAAAGTTAGCTAATACCTTGAAATAATTGCAAAATCATCAGTCCAATCCCCTTGTGTATGTAGAATAAGAAAATCATTGCCATCCTTCACATTTTTTGGCCATTATCGCTTTTCAGGGGTAATAATCACACTCCAAAAAAACATTTGGTCACTCAATCCACGACTGTTTGTGGGATACTGCTGTGCTCAATTGGCTGCCGTATTTTGTCCACAAAATACTCATACAATCCACTTTACAGTATATCTTGTGAATAGGTTTGAGACGTCTCAATGATGTGATAAGGCCCTATATCAAATGCAAGGATTATTATTTTTATTATTATCTTTCAAATGATTTTCCAGCAGAAACCAATATATGATCTGTTCCTTATTGAACAAATCCTAAAGTGGCTTTTTTCCTGATCTGTTTCTACCTTTGTTTCCAGGTCCACCAAACAGTATACCTGAACCCACCAAACCACTGCCAACGGTGCCGCCACGAATGCCACCAAAGATGCCACCAAAGAAACCAGAACAGCGACCTCCCAAAACTCCCACCAAGGAAAAGCCTGAAATCCCAGACATCCCCAAGGACAAGGATCCAATGAATCCCAAGGCTACAGATGGGCCCATTCAATACGGCCCTAACATCTGTGATGGGAATTTCGATTGTGTGGCGATGTTACGGGGAGAAATGTTTGTTTTTAAGGTAAAGACATTTTGCAGACCGTATCAAATTGGGGTACTCATATTTAACAGTTAACTACTCCTGAATAGATCTTTTCACGTGCCTCAAGAGCTGGTTTCTCAAAAGGCTTAAAAAAATGGTTTAAAGTTCCTGAGTGTTTGAATGGACTATTTACATGTGCTGTGGTTATAATGAAACATATCGAATTGCACTGCTCCTGAAACCATTTCCTCCTTGTGTCAGAAATGGGCCCTTCAACACAATTCACCTCGGCTGAACAGGTTTTGCAGCAAATCACTGTCAAATTCAAGGAATTTTATCACTAAACATGGAGGGTAAATGCCTCAAGGGCATGGGGCCCTTGTTAGAGAATATCTATTCATCTGAAGCTATTACTGTCGTCTCAGAAATGGCGACCTGGCAGGCCACAAGATTGGGTTGGGCGAAAAAGGTCGTTCAGCCCATCTGATCTCATCCTTCCACAATGCCCACCCCACCATCCTCCCAGCACAGCATCAAGCTGGGTCTAAGCTGTGGTAATTGGCACAGGTCAACTTAAGCCCCCTTGAAAATTCTACAATAATGACTGCTGAGGTCTGACTGAGTTCAGTGCTCTGAGCTTGCTGTCTTTTCTAAACAGGGGCGCTGGTTCTGGAGAGTTCGAAATAACCGAGTCCTGGACAACTACCCAATGCCTATCGGCCATTTCTGGAGGGGGCTGCCGTCTAACATTGACGCAGCATACGAGCGGCACGATGGGAAGTTTGTCTTTTTTAAAGGTAAGCTCGATACATGCTGATTCAATGAGGCTGATTGTCACAGCCTCGCTCAGCAGTCAGAGCGTTTTTATTCTCCCCCTTGTTTCATTATTTCTACATCCAACCGAATGCTGTAAAAATGTGGATTTATGCTTCTTTGAATAAATAACTTTACATGCTTTGAATACACCCCAGCAGGGTGAAACCTTGGGCAAGTTTCCTTATTCCACACGCCTGATAATAATCCTTCAAAAAAAATAATAAATTGGTCATTTCAATCCACGACTGTTTCTGGGACACTGCTGTGACCAATTGGCTGCCGCATTTCACCCACAAATATACTTTACAGTCTATTATGCAAAGCGCTTTGAGAGGTCGAGAAGATGTGAAAAGCGCTATATCAAATGCAAGGATTATTGTTATTATCGTAACATGCCATGTCTTGTCTCCAGTCTGTTTTGAAGAGGAATTGAGCTGTAATTGTAGACACTCTCAGCGATCATTCTTTCTGTACGTTAGCAACAAAGGGGCATGCTGGCCGAAACGTGTGTTGATGTGCATTGGCAGGGAACTGGATTGCAGATAAACACACAAGAGCAATTACTTGCTAAATACTAATAAGTAATATTCCCCTCAGAGCCGTTCATGACGTTACCTTTTGCGCGGAATATTACCTTGCAATTTTTGACAATGACAACACTAGAATCGCATGGCAGCTTGACCAACTAAAAGCGACTCAGCAAAGATTGGATGCTTTGAAAGTCTTGAGGAAGTTGCTCTTTAAGTTTGAATTGAGATCGGTTGGAGAAGTGTAAGAGGGTAAAGTTGAAAGTAAAGTAAAATTGGAGGGAATGGAAATGCGGAGGCAAAGGGAGGTCAAGAACACACATACGCACAGAACTGGGGAAGTACTGCAAAACTGGTTGATCTATATATTTCCAGCATTTTATGTTATCGCTTGTTTTCCAGCATTCTGGGATTTTCGTTTCATCTGTAGTATGTTTGATGTGCTTGGCTTAGAATAGGACAGAATCTCATTTAGATAAAGATAAGTATATTTGTGTCAGCATTCTGCATTTGACCAGAGTGTTACAGATTGCACACTTGACTTTGTCTTTGTGATTTGCATTCAGCAAACAGTGAAATTACATATCTGCTTAAAAGCAGGACTTCAAGTTATTGGGATAAATTCCGATTAGATCATCCAATGGAACATTATGGCATCAGCTGAACGTCGCCAACAGATTGCAAATGAGCTTTGTGGAACAATATAAATTCATCGCCTGGAGTTCTTGCTCGATTGATTGCCTTTTGGGTAAAGATTAGAGAAAAATATTTTCTTCTCTTGGAAAATCTTACCTGTGGTTGTTCAAATCCTTTGGCAGATTTAATAAATTGGAGTGAGTGTACGACAGTAAAACTTGCACATGTGTCCTCTGGGAGTGGGCTTAATCAGCCAAGTGGCCTCAGTTTTTGTTTAAATTATGTTAGTTGTGTCCAGAAGACTTCACAAAGTGAGGGAAGGAGCAGTGAAGCACGCCAAACTGTAACTACTCATTCTTACAAGTCCTTTTGAAATGATTGTATATGGTAGAAAGTGATGTTTAAGCAAAACCACAATGCAATAACAATAATAAGGTGGGTATAGCGCCTTTTATGGAATACAAGATCAAGAGGTGATGTTACAACAACCACAAATTACTGTTGTTTAGCGCCTTTTGTGTCGGGAAGACATCCCAAGGTGCAAGACAGTCAGGGGTTGGGATCAAGAGGAGCTGAGGGCAGGGAGGGTGGGGTAGGAGGGTGACCGAAGGTGCAGTGGAAGAGAATGGCCTTAAGACGGGCCTTGAAGGAGACGAGGGAGGGCGTGAGGCAAAAGGATTGTGAGTATGGAGTTCCAAAGAGGGAGGGCAGTGAGGCTGAAGGCCTGACCGCCATTGGTGGGGCGGGCAAGATGGGGGACATGGAGCAGGCTGGAGCCCGCTGAGTGGAGGGAGCAGACAGGTCGCTTTGGAGTTAGCAGATCACAGAGGTAGGCAGGAACAAGGCCGTAGAGGGCTTTTATACCATTACATAAAAACACTGGTCAGACCTCATTTGGAGTATTGTGTGCAGTTTTGGGCACCAAACCTTCGGAAAAATATATTGGCCTTAGAGGGAGAGCAGGGTGGATTTACTAGAATGATTCCGAGTGTCAAGGGCCTAAATTATAAATGAAAGAATGGAAAAATGTAGATTGTATTCTCTCGAGTTCAGAAACTTGGGGGGTGATCCAATCAAGGTGTATAAAATTATAAAGGGACTTGACAGACTGAATAGTGAGCAACTGCTTCCTCTGGCAAGAGAATTGAGGACTAGAGGCCATAGCCATAAACTTGAGGCTAAACCATTTAGAATGAAAAGTGTGGTGGGATTGTGGAATTCACTCCCCCAGATGGCAGTGGAGACAGAAGAGAATTGAAGAATTTAAAAGGCAAATAGATAAGTGCTTGGTAGACAGGGATATCAGGGAATATGGAGAGAAGAAACGGGACGGTGGAATTGAGTTATAGATCGGCCATGATCTTGGAAGATTTTGGTACAGGCTCAATGGGCTGAAAGGCTTCTTCTGTTCCTTCGTCGGGAGGACAGCTTCACAGGATTTACAGGAAAGTGGCGTAACTGTGTTTTGTGGGCAGTCAACCCTCTTGGTGGAATAATAAAGGTTGTAAACTTAAATTGATTATTAATCGTAAAGCTTTTCTGAGTCATTTCCACTTGGGATTAAAAAAAACAATGTTATCTATGGCTTTCTAATCTGCCTGCAGTGTACACTGGTACTTTTTGGGTAGGTAGGTGTCTTATCTTGTTGGTGTAACAGGATTATTTCTTTTATTTCCAGGTGATAAATTCTGGTTGTTTCACGAAGCGATGTTGGAGCCAGGCTATCCTCGGTACCTGGCGGACCTTGGTAGAGGCGTGCCTTATGATAAAATTGACTCAGCCATCTGGTGGGAGCTCACTGGCCTCACATACTTCTTCCAAGGAGACAGGTCTGCTTTGAATTGTACCGGCTCGGTGTCGTGCTTCGCCACTGTCAAGCGCTCTGGGACACTATCCTGCGTGAAGGGCGCTATATAAATGCATGTTGTTGTCATGAATACGATGGTAATACTATTGTGATTGGAACTTTACAGAGTTGGAACTGCCCAATGTGCACATAATAATAATAATAATCCTTGCATTTGATACAGCGCCTTTCACATGAGGAGGACTTCTCAAAGCGCTTCACAGGATATACTGTAAGGTGTAGTGACTGTGCAACAAGTAATTGGGTTTGGGGTTCACCTGCCCTGTTATTTCTAAGAATCTGACAGACGATGAAGTACGAAGCCTCACAGCCTGGTGTGAATTGTAGTTGGACATGATTGTGAAGGTGCCAAAATTAGGGAGACTGTCAATAAAGTAAAAGCAAAAGGTTGTTGTCATATTGATCTACTCTCACCGGATGCTATTACCATATTCAGTAACTATTAATTGTGCCTGCACCATTTGCATTGCATGCTAAAAACATCTGGGGCAGAACAAAAAATCATTATTGGACTCGTGAACACTGCATATGGGAGACTGAATGGACTCTTGGGCCTGCCACGAAGATCAGCAAGTTTGGCACAGTGTGTGCGTGTGATGGAAAACCTCCCATCATAAGGGAACAGAGCCAGAACTATTACATTTAGCAGCAAATGTGATATCAGTCCTCTCATTTCAGAATGCAAGATGCAGCTGTGATCTGAACTGAAGTTATTCTTACAATGTTATCCCTGTGCAGCTTGCATATCGATAGATATTCAGTTAAATCCTCTTGTTTGATGTAGTTCATAATAATACTAATCTTTGCATTTGATAGGTGCCTCATCACGTCATTGAGAAGTCTCACAGTGTTTTACAGAATATACTGTAAAGTGGATTGACTGTATATTTTATTGGCGAAATGCAGCAGCTAATAGTGTACAGCAGTGTCCCGCATCAGTCATGGATTAAGTGACCAAATTTTTGTTTGGTTTGCTTTTTTGGAGGGATTATTACTCCCAGAAAGTGATCCACCAATCAACTAACGACCAAGTTCCAACTTACTGCTGGGTAAGCAGAGGCATATGACGTAAAGAGACTTTTTAAGGTTTTGCCCTGCCCAGGTCCTTGGCATTGAAGTTAATGCCCTGGCTCCATTCCACTTGTTTTGTATGGAATTTCCTGCCCTGTCTCCATTCGCCCACAAATGCACATTAATTCACTTTACAGTATATTCTGTGAAGCGCTTTGAGACGTCTCGAAGATGTGATAAGGCTCCATATCAAATGCAAGGATTATTATTATTTTTATTCTGACCTGGGTGCATTGACCTGTCAACCACCAACAAAAACACATAACAAGACGTGAAAAGCACTATATCAAATGCAAGGATTATTATTATTATTTCCCTCACATGGAACTTGATATTGATTCATCTCCTTTGGTGGCTTTGTTTCCCTGTGTATGATGCTTGCTATTGATTGACCTGTTCTGGGCTGATTCCCATTGTGTGGGGAGCAGTGCATGTGAGTGGTTTGCAATGACATGAATGCGTCATTACAACAACTCACTTGTGCAGTACTGTAGCGTAGTGGTTAGAGCGCTCGCCTCGCAAAGCGAGAGGATCCAGGTTTGATTCCCGGGCAGGGCTAAACCTTAAGTAAGTGCCTCTATTTACCTAGCAGTAAGTAGAAACTCGATTGGTGCATTGCTTTTCTGGTATCCTGGCTAACAATCCCACAAATTTTATGGGTAATAATCCCTTCAAAAAAAATAAAATGAATAATAATTTGTTCACTCAATCCACGGCCGTTTGTGGATCACTGCTGTATGCAGTTGGCTGCCGGGTTTCACCCACAAAATATATACGATCAATTCAGTTTACAAAATATTCTCTGAAGCGCTTTGAGACATCTCAACGACGTGATAAGGCGCGGTATAGAATGCAACTATTTTTATTAAAACACACCGATGATTTCAGGTACTGGCGCTTCAATGAGGAAAGGAGATCAGTAGATGCTGGCTATCCAAAGTCTATCAATGTTTGGCAAGGCGTTCCATCCTCACCAAAGGGAGCTTTTCTTACTGATGATGCAGGTAAGGAGGAGACATTGGATCTGTTATGCCCTGACGTTTGCAAGGGAAATGCTTTTATAAACATATCAGGAAAAATTGCAGGAAAATGTGACTGAAGATTGGCAATTTGGGAAACTGAGCTGTAAACAAATAATTTTGAGTGCAGGAATCCAGAAATCTTATTGTGCCCTTTGAGTGAGATAGGGGCATCACTAGATGTGGAAGGACAGGAAGTTTCTCGTTGTAAAGACATGAGGTTCCAGCAATAGTATAATCTTAAGTGGTGTTCCTGCTGCAGCAGCAGAGTAATACAGAGGAGAGCATTGTTGTTGTTTGCAGTATTAATTATATTTCATATTCTCATCCTGGTACTGGTTGAATGGCCAGCTGCTGTCTACATGATGTGACTCATTTAAGGCTTGTTGATTGCCAGATTCAGCAAAGGTCAAATGTTCTGTTTGATTATGAATGAACAAAACAAAATGTTGAAACAATTTATTCTACAGAATTTCCGTCTGCTCTTATCTACTGGTCAGATGTATTCCGATAAACCCTATAAACAGATTGTGTTTTGATTGACAGCCTACACACAGTTTTACAAGGGCACGAAATACTGGAAGTTTAACAACCAGCTGCTGAAAATCGAGCCAGGCTACCCCAAATCCATCCTTCGTGACTGGATGGGATGCAAAGTCGATGTGGAGCCTGACTTTAATGGGGAGAAACCGAAGGTGGATGATGGTGAGGTTGACAGCAATGATGAAGATAATGCTAATGGTAATGGAGATGATAATGATAATAATGATGCTGGTCGTGATGATGGTAGTGATGATGATGATGATCACAATGATAAAGGTGGAACGAAAGAAGAGCAGGACAAAGATGTGGATATCCACATCAACATCCCAGTAGATGACTATACTCGAGCAATGAATATCATAATGGTCGTGGTCCCGTTAATTCTCCTGCTTTGTATTCTGGGATTGATCTACGCTATCCTCCAAATGCAGAGGAAAGGAACACCCCAGCTACTGTTGTACTGTAAACGCTCCATGCAGGAATGGGTTTGACCTGCGTGTGTGTCGGTGCTATAACGATGTGGCTTGTATTAGGTCACGGATATTGAGTCCCGAGCGATTCCGCTTCTCGATTTAGTTTTGTTTTGTGTGGTTCTCATTGGTGTTGAGCAGCACCACAGCCATGAGCAATGGAGAGAATTGGGGGGTATTTTGTCTTTGGTCTCAAAGGAAGTTTGTAACACGGGCTGTGAAATGACTCCAAGGAATGCTTTGGTCCTACCTTTCCCTCTCCGAATGAACTGCTCTTGCCCCTATTGACTAGGTTGGCATAGAGTGAAGATGGGCCTTGGCTGGTAAACCTTCAAAGAAGTTTCATTAGCTGAAGCTGGTGGACTACATTGTGCAAACCTCTTGAAATTATTGGTGTTGTTTGATTGCTTCGTCCCCTGGGATAAATTCACCTAGCCATAAATACTTTCTACCAAACCACAATGCCTTCACGTCCACTGAAAAACTGTTTTGACTCCAAATCTAAAGATTGTTCGGTCTGTCTGTCAGCTGGGTTTGTAACCAACGTTTAATGGAGTCACTACAACTGCCTGAAGCCCACACACAGGATTTGAACACTCAAAAGCGGATGGCCCTGAAAAATAACCTTGAAACTCCTCACCTTAGAATCACTACACTTCTATCAATCAGCAGAGAACTTCAATAAAATGGATTCACCACTGGGAAGTGACCACTATTCATTCTACTGTATCACTGAAAAAATACATCACCATCAGCAACTCTGGGAGAACACTACCGAACACTGGAAGATAATCACTATATCTCACGTTAACTCTTCTTTCCCTATCAAACTGGGGCAATCGTCGGAGGGGGGGGGGGGGTCTATGGAAGGCAGCGCCTCTCCTGGTCATAAAAGGGCCAGGGGGATAGGCTCTCCACTTGTATCGTCCATATTTGGTTAAGTTCAATGATATTTTGACATGCAAAATAAACCATTTTTTTTTCAGTGCACTTTGTTTGCTTTGGCCTCTTTTCAGTATTGTTCAAGTCGCATCTTTTTGGGAATCGAGTGGCTTATTTCAGGAATTGAATGGGGAAAGCGTTGTGATGGTGTTTTGAAAGTTATAGTTTGGACTAAACATCTGATTCATTTACAGTAATGTTGCAAAATCATTGTTGCAACATGTTATTTCTTCATCCGCGTTAAAAGCTGGATTCAACAAAACAGTAACCCCTACAAACAAAAACAAAAAAAAGATTTGGTCACTTCAGTCCACGTCTGTTTGTGGGACGCTGCTGTGTGCAATTGGCTGCCGCGTTTCGCCCACAAAATATACAGTCAATTCATTTTATAGTATATTCTGTGATGCGCTTGGAGATGTCGCGAAGTCGTGATAAGGCGCTATATCAAAATCAAGGATTATTATTATAAAATGATACTTAAAGTGACAAATAAACAACTGTCAACTGTTATTTTGACGTCTTACTCTGTTTGTTTGTCGCTCAAAATGACTGTTGCGGTTGCTCATTTATAATTAATTTAGTGATGTTTTACGATGGTTGTCAAATCTTGGGTTTGTGGCATTATTTGAATGATCATAAGTTATTATAGGCTGATGCACGAGTGGGAACACTTTAGATGCTTGATTAACTACAGAAACTGTTGCAAACTGCAATTTGACAGTAATCACTCCTTCCTTTAACCTCAGTGATCACAAGTCAAGCTATGATGGGTGATATGGGTAAGAGGTTGTATTAAAGCATTAAAGTTCCTTTCTCCCACAGTGCTATTGACAAGTGATGTTTGCACTATTTATTGTTTATTTTCGCGAAGTAATATTATTGGGAAAAATGTATCTTCCTCATGACTACTGCTTTTTGAGGGGTGATATGATTACAATCTTTAAGATTCTAAAGAGACTGGATAATGTAGATTGTGATAAACTGTTTTATCTTTAAAACAGTAGATTCAGAGGACACGGCCTGCGATTGAAGGGGAGGCAAATTCAAAAGAAATCTGCGGAAACACTGTTTCAATGAGCGAGCAGTAAATGTATGGAACAGGCTCCCTAGGGAGACTGTGGAAGCAGAAAGTGTTGATTCTTTCAAAAGCAAATTAGATTTATTTTAGGAAATAATATCCTGGGATACAGTATATAGTTTGGGACATGACATGTGCCAGCGACTGCCTGGGTGGTGGAAGACAAACTGGATCGACCCAGGTCTTCTTTCAAAGGCGGTTCATTTCCTGGATATTGTTGCATTGCCACCATTTACAATCAGATTTGTGTATGACTTCTGGTACTTTATTCCAAACGTTTCCTTGCTTCCTCTCTCTTTTACCTTCAAAATCTTTCTTAAAAAAGTCTGTTTGATTGTACCTTTGGCCAGTGTCTTTAAATTTTCTTTTTCATGTCTATATTCACCACTCAGTTTTTTTTCCCCCAGCGCTTTTAGAAGTTCAATCTGTGAAAGGTGTTATACAAACAAATGCTAGTTGTTGTTACGATGCCAGCTGCAGCGAATTTCGTGTCTGAAAACATTTCCTCAAATGGTGCCTGATTGTTCACAGACTGAGGGGAGGCACAGACGGTAAGTGCTCAACTAATAAACTTGTGAAAGACACTTTGTCTTTATGGCAGCAATCATTCCTGACAACACTCTCATTGGTATGCACCTCGATGTTGATTTTGCTGGTGGAAGCAACAGCTTGTATTTTGCAAACAAAATACACAGTTAATCCACTTTATGGTATATTCTGTGAAGTGCTTTGAGGCGTCTCAAGGACGTGATGCGGCTCTGGATCAAATGCCAGGATTATTATTAATACATTTCAAATGCCTTGTTTGCAAATCTAGTGGATTAGCATGGCACAGTTTATTCACAAAGGAAATGGGGGGCATCCAGTCTGTTCTACATCTTTTGTGGCCTGGCTGAAGTTAGGCTGCCTAGCAGGTTTCTTCAACAACAACTTGCATTTATATAGTGCCCCACACGCAGGATGCTTGACAGTGGCGGAGCACGGCGGCTGGGGGAGGGGGGAGGTGACCGTAAGCACGGTCGAAGAGGAAGGTCTTCAGGCGAGACATGAAGATGGGGACAAAAGAGGCAAGACGAAAGGATAGACGGAAGGATAGAGGAAGAGTGTCCCAGAGTTTGGGGGCATAGTGGCTGAAAGTGTGGCCACCGATGGCAGAATGGAGGGCAAGAAGGACAAGTCGAAGGCCGGAGCCAGTCGAGCGGAGGCAGCGGGCATTGGGTTGGTGGATAAGCTGGTCAGAGAGATAGGGAGGTGCCAGAGCATGAAAGGATCACAAGTGTTATAAGGAGATAGTGTTAAGAGTTCACACTGTATTGGAGGCTTTAGATGTTAATGTCTGTTGTTGCTCTTGTCAACAGAAATCTAACTTGTTTTCTTTATAACAGTCTTACCAACTACTGGAGGATGCTAGTGAGTTTGGGTGTGTGGGGAGAGGGGGGGAAATCAGCTTTGGATAGCACATAGATTTAGAGCTTGTAATTGAAATCAGGCTGCAAAATCGGGCCAAGATTGGGTGAGCAGAAAATCTCATGCTTAAAATGGGAATGACTGGCAGTCTGCACCTGCAACACTCGGGAGCAACGAAACAAAGCCACGGACTGTGGGAAACTGGAATCGTCTCTAATTCATAGACACGGAGTTTAAAAAGCAGAAATGACAGAACCAAACAGGAATTTGTCAGGGGCTCCGAGACTCTACCCTGCATGAAGCGCACTATCTAAATACAAGTTGTTATTTTTCTAAAAGTGACTCGAAACAAGAGATCCAATTATGAATAACGTAAGAAACTCTAACTCAACACTTAGAAAGAAAATGACGAGTAAAATTGCAGAAATCGCACTTACATTTAATACGGAGCTTTTCACTTGGGGAGGAGATCTATACTTTAAATTTACTATTTACTATTATTTACTGCAAAGTGTAAGCGCTCCGAGACGCTACCCCCGGGTGAAGGGCACTATGGAAATGCAAGTTGTTGTTGTGACGCTATTTTAGAGGTGAACTCAGCCAATTTGCACACAGCAATACCTCACGAAAAACCATTGAGTGAATGACCAGCTTTACTGGGTGGGGGTGCTTAACGAACAGGACATCAGGAGAAACTTTGTTCCCTTTTTGAATAGTGCCATGGCATCTTTAACTTCCACTTGAACAGGCAGGAGCTCGATTTAACATCTCTTCCGAAAGATGGCACCTCTGACAATGCAGTGCTTTCCCCAGCGCTGTATTGGCATTGCAGCCGGGACTGTGAGAGTTCAAAGTCCTGACACGGGGCTTTTTCAGTTTTTTTAGGAGATAACAATCCTTGCATTTGATCTACCGCGTTTGTTGCGACGTCTCAAGCCGCATACAAGAATATATACTAATAATAATCCTTGCATTTGATATAGCGCTTTACAATATATCCTGTGAAGCGTTTTGAGACGTCTCAAAATGCTTCACAGGATATATTGTAAAGATATTTTACTGTAATTTGTCCGTATCAAAGTTGTGAAGTGTTAATAGTGCCACTTGTGGCTGACACAGAATACCAATGCTCATTGTTTTTTGAATCTTCAAGCCTTTCACTTGTACCTTTCATTTATTTCAATGTTATCACAACGCTAGCAATATCAAAACCAAGTCCTGGTGACTGTTTGTCTGGATACTGTTGCCTGCGGACATGTCTCCGGGTGGGATGTAGAGCTCTATTGGATGGAAGGAATCCATTACCAGGGATCTGTGCTGTTGGAGGTAATTTTATATTCGGATTACTTTGACTTTGAAAGAATTTTGGATGCAAAAGTAGTGCAGCTGTAATGAGGGAGTCAGCTTTTCCTAAACCTAAAGTCAGACTTTGGGAAAATGGTCCTTACACTGGTTTGCCAAGGCCATTGTTCATCAAGAATCAGCAGTTGGCACAGGCTGCCGCTGAACATTTCGTAGCTGAACCTTTTTCTCTCCGTCTCAAAACGCTTCATAGAATATACTGTTAAGTAAATTGATGTATATTGTGTGGGCGAAATGCGACAGCCAATTGCGCACAGGAGTGTCCCTCAAACAGTTGTGGATTGAGTGACCAAATTTTTTTAATTATTTTTTTGAAGTGATCATGAACCCCAGAAAAGCGATCCACCAATCAACTAACCACCGGTTTCCTATTTACTGCTGGGTAAACAGAGGCGTGTGGGGTAAGGAAACTTGTCTAAGGTTTTGCCCCACCCGGAAATCAAACCCAGATCCTCTCGCTTGCGAGTCAAATGCTCTACGGGACTCACATCAAGTTATTTCAAGCTTCAAAATGATCAGGACCCAAGCTGGAAATAGCCTTGACGTTGCAAAATATCGTGATCACTGGTTATTAACTGTTCAGGGTCAGCTTCCAAGGAAATCCACAGAATTCATCCAATTGGCAGATTTTGTGTGTAAATACTTAAACACCCAATGAGTACTAGGCTGGATACGGGGAGGGGGAGAGGGTAGTGTGAGAGCACCATCAAAAGAGGGAGCCACTGCCAGACAAGGACACACATCTCTCTTTGTATGTTAAACAGAAAAAAATCCTCATTTTTTGAAATTTTCCAGGACTTGACCGAACGAGAACGAGTGAGTGGGTTGGGGGTTGGGGTGGTGACGGTAATGAACACTGTAATTTCACTGTTAAATCAGAGCAGGGCACAAATCAATGTGACTTCCTGCGGGTTGACGGAAAAGCAATCTGACTGATAGTCGTGCCAAAGGCAGGGGTCACAGAAATGTGGTCAAGGAGAGCTTCCAATGACGGAGGAGGGGTTGGAGAATCAGGATGTGTCTGGGTTTCCTGCATATATTACATTGATTTAGCACTTAGGGGGGGATGGGAGGACTCAGCAGTCTGAGTGGAGATGTCTTGACACAGTAAAGCTTGACACAGCTTGAGGAAGTGACTGCACTCTTATCACCACTAATATACAGTGAGGAAGTCAGTCAGACTTCACTTAGTTCCTGTTAA